ACTCTTGGAGTAACTGGGGATGAAAAGAAGGTAATTCTCCATCTACCAGACCACATCAGATGGCACACTCTTCTACTGTGGTTGTTACAGGATACTGTCGAGTACCACTCACAGTGACTTTATGAACAACAGACCTGGATCTCATCCTGTCCTCACCATCCTGAATACACTTCAGCTGCACCGTGCCAGCAACTCATCTCACTGAAGTGGTCATTATGGGTCATCAAGTCAACTATGACTCATAGCAACCCTATAAACAGCCAAGCACTGGCCTGTGCTGAATTCACTTCACCATCTGACAAACACCCCTAACCCCACTGCCACAGTCACTGCATCAATCTATGTCATCTGGGGTCTTCCTCTCCTGCGCTGTGCCTCCACCCTTCCAAGCATGATGTTCTTCCCCAAGGACCAGTCCCTCCTTGTAACATGCCCAAAGTACGTGAGATGGAGCTTCAGAATCATTGCCTCCCAGGGTGGTTAAGTGCCAACAGATCCTTTCTAACCTGCAATGACCCCACGCCCAACAAAAGGAAAGCCTGCTTGGGGCAGCCTCACCATCTCTGCTGTCCCCGATGCTGTGTCAATCCATCCTTCAAGAGTCTTCCTTTTTCTGTGACTCTCTGCTTTACCAGTATTTTTAATGTTTCCTCCTAAGAATTTACAATGAAGAGATCCTCCAAATGCATCATCCATTCTAGGTTGCCTTACGAGCCTACCTCAACCAGTCAGTTGCGCATTTTACCCTAATCCATGAGAGGATTTTCCCCATGACTCCCCTCAGCACCAAAGTCCCTCTGCACTCCTTTGCCGAACCCCTAAGCATTCTCACCTGTTCCTTTAGCTGAGACTACAGTTGACCTATGAAGTATGCAGTGGCTGGGGGTACCGTCTGCAGGTAAAAACTGGCACCATCACACCCAACTGTGTACATGGAGCACACAGTTGCACACAGTGTACATGGAGCACACAGTGGCACACAGTGTTTTCAGCAGATACATCAGAGATCACAACAGCCAACAAGCAAATCACGCGTGACTGGCCGCTCTGTCTGAGGGCCCACCGTGCACCAGCATTCTGCTTTATTTTAGGCACCTTGCTCTCCTCACCTTCTTTCTCTTCTGTATTATTTTCAACATTTTATGAGAAATTTCACGGGGAGTGAGGTGTCCTACAGCACACCCACTCACTACCTAGAATCAGTGAATGTTAACACCTTGTCATCTTTCCCTTGTATCTGAATTACATTCCAGGAGGATTCAGGGGGAGGTGTGCCCTTCACCTACATTAAAATAAGAAAGTACTGAATCAGAGATCATGTTTGACCCTCTAAGATGAGCTAGTCTTCTCTCCTGAAGCATAAGCCATGGGCTACAAAGAAATATGCTGGGTCATGTTTGTTAGGTGCCACTGGATCAGCTGTGACAACATGGACGAGACAATGACATACTGCCCTGTCCGATGCCATCATCCAGCCTCTGTTGTGTTCAACCCAGGGATGCAGCCATTGTGTCAATTTATATTCCTGAGGTGATTTCTGTTCCGCTGACCCACTAAACCAGGCACGAGGCTCTTCTCCAGAGACTTCCCTTCCTTGGATCCAACTATGTCATTGTCAGGTTCTGTCCAGTATGAGTCCAACCCATAGTGACCGCTTGTATAACAGATGCAAACCTTGCTCGAGCTTGTGCTAGTCTCACAGTCTCTGCTGTGTTTAAGTGTACAACTGCATCACTTGCCAGTGTATCTCGTCGTGGGTCTTCCTCTCCTTCTCTGACCTTCCATCTTTCCAAGCTTGATGTCCACTTGCAAGAGTTGACCCCTCCCAGTAACATAGCCCAAAGCATGTGAGACGAAGTTTCACCATCCTTGCCTCGAAGAATTTTACAGGTACACTTATGGCTTAGAATTTGAAAAAAAAAAAAAAAAAGAACTTGCAAATACAAGGACCAAGTATGAATTCATAAAACTGCTTCTAATTAACCCAAAGATTGAAAATTCCATCCAAAAATATGAAGGATACACATAAATTTCTAAATTCTAGTAAAAAAAAGATAAACATCATCTTGTTATATAAACTGGTACCAAAAAAAGACAAGTTCATTTCTGTAATTCTTTATTAAAAATAATGCTGTACATGTAAAGACTGAAAAGAAGATTAAAGATGAGGAACACATATTGGGACCATGACATCAAAACGTAACATACCGGTGCTTTTTAGGGAAGCTGTTGACAGTCAACTCACAGAACAAAGGTCGAAAGCAAAATACAAAGGTACCCTCAAAAAATACTTAACAATGAAGTAAATACATTAACCAGAATTTGAAATTGGTACAAAAATTGAAATGACCAACATTCCATGATTTCAAGGGTTCTCCTTTCTGCTCTTTTCTCTGCAATAACAGGAAGGCCTGGGAGGTCTCCACCCTTCATTTGACTGTTCTCAGATAGTAACATCTTCCTAAAAATTAGCACTCAACTTTTTGACAACCTCTTCAACGGGGAAAGAGGGAAAAGAGGGCTTCCCCAAAAAACACCTAAACAGAACCAAGAGTTCTCTTTGAAAACCATTCCCAATAAAAATGACATGAAAAATAAATATAAAACAAAGCTTTAAAAAAAATGCATTACCTGACCTGACGCCAACTGTTGTTTTCTATTTTTTAAATTTTTTTTTTTTTTAAATTCCCGGCTGACAATATTTACTCATGAAAACATACCAGCTGTCCACTTTTCAGAGTCAACCAAGTCCTGAGGTTACTAGGGGCTGAAGCAAACCAGCACTCACGATGCGAACGTTCCCGGGTTTGTGATCTGAACCTGCCTTGCTGAGGAAAGTGTGCTGGTCGAGACAGAAGGGGAAATACAAGCCCCTGCCCTTCCTTCCATTCACAGAACATTGGTCCACAAAGTAAATGCTCGAAAAGTCCCCAAACCCGAAAACTAAAATAGATGATCCCCTTTCATTTTCAAAGAAAACAATATTGGAAAAAATCTCCAGCCCGCTTATAAATTAAGCATTTCATATTTCTTCTAGAATACAAGTAGTTCTTTTTTTTTTTTGTACAAAAGAATTACAATATGATTTGTCAAAAAACATATAAAAAAGACAGCTGCTCTTCCTCAAATACATGAGCTAATAATGATAAAAGACTTTTGCGTGTTAATGTCTCCAAGTCCTTGTTCCTTTTACATAAAAAGAACATTATGGTGGCAAATGTTACTCAACCTTGGAATATTAAACATTATGTTCTTCTTAATCCATCCATAGCAAATGCAATAATTAATTTTCTTTTTTTTAACTCAACAACTGATGCTACCCAGCATGGACTCATCCACACCGCATAAAACATGACAAGCGTGTCTCTAGTCTTCAAAGCTTTCAGGCGAAGAGAGGTGCTTATTTCTTTCTTGATGCAAACCTCAAGGCAGAGAAAATCATTTTAAAGCTTCTAAAAAAGTGGAGAAATATTAAAAACTTCTCTGAAAACTACAAATATGTCTAATTATTAAAATTGAAGACAGTAACATCAGTTGCAAGTGCTTGGGAGTCTGTCCTGACCTTTTTGTTAATTTTGTTTCCAAATTTCCACATTTTCTTCATAGTTGCAAGGTGAGCACCCAGTGTGCTGGAAACATTCAGTGCTGGGGAAGGAGGTGGAGGCTTCACGTTGGGCCGCTGTGGGGTTCTCTTTCTTCTTCCATTACTTTTTTTGTGGTTTTTGTTATTTTTTTTTTTAAGAAAGAAAATTCCTATGTATTTGGCAGTCATCGGTATCAAAGTATAGGTATTTCATTAACTATAAATTCCAAGTTTGGCGACAATTGTATGTCCAAATGTTACGAAAGTTAAGAGGAGGAAATTCCAAACTTCTGCGATTGACTGATTTCGGAAGATCCCACATCGTAGGTTATTATCAAAAGTTCTCTTCCTTTGGGCGAAGCAGGGACTGCAAAGGCACAGCAGACCGGGGACCCTCCGGCCTCGGGTGTCAGGCTGTAGGACGCTCTGCTGCCGGGCCACTGCTGGGTCGCTCATCTTCTCCACAGTGTCTTTGCGTCTGAATCCAGTGTAAAGTACCATAATAAAGCTGTGGTTCAGAGAACAGGACTTTATACAAAAAAGCAAACTGTAAATAACCTAAAGTAATACATTCCTGAACTTCAGGCCTTTAACACAATTTCTTAAGTCTTTTTCTATTTAAAAAAAATAATAATTGCATACTTGTAATAAATGCATCTGACTAGCAGGGAAACATACTCTTCTCTTTCTCTCAAGGCTCAGTTGAATGGGGAGGAAAGCACTATCAATGCTCCTTCAGCTCCCACTTATCTGGTCCTGACTCAATCACACCAGCTGACCAGGGAATTCATATCCAGCAGGTCACCGATGGGTCTTCTCCATGTGTTCTTCAGACAAAGAAACTGAAAGAGCTGCATGAGAACCAACAGTGGTGGCATCCGTGCTTGCTCCTCACGAGGACATGGCACCAACGGCATCTTGGTGAGGTTCTGGCCTGGCCCATCTCGATGTTTAGAGCACCTGTCCTGAAAGGAGCAAATTCTACAGCCCTCAGCAACACAGACACTACCCGGCACTGCTTCTCAAAAATATCCTTAGACGCTGTTTCCCTAATCAGTCTATATGGCGGTGGAAGTTCAAAGATCAGAAAGATCAGAGGGGGGAAAAAAAGTCTGTAAAAAATTAAAATTAGTGCATAAGCAAATGGAGGAAGAAAAGGAAGGAAAAAAAGGAGGCAGGAGCATCATTCACCTGACGGTGTTTCTTGATCTAGAAGGTTCTTCACAGGTAGCCTCGCTGCAGTGCCTGCGGGCAGCAGTGCACCGGAGCGAAGCGTGAGCATCTTACTCATCTGGTGGCATCCCAGACTTGGAATGAGATGGTGGAGACAGTCCAGCTGTAGTGCAATTTGCTATCAGGCCATCCTCAGCAGTGTCCTGAAGGCTCTTCTGTCTGTCCATATGTTTCCCAGCAAATACTACAACTGACCATTTGAAGCTGCAATGAGTTCTTGAAACGTGTTTTCGAAGCAGCGCTTTAAGTCACTGTAGGTCACCACGAGCACACTCTTCTCATCGCGGGAAATGAGGCTGATCTTCTCGGGCACTCCAGCATCCAGCTGAAACACACACCACAAGAGGTCAGGCACACATAGGCAAGCTGCAGTCAAGTCACTCTCTTTATGACACTAGCAACAACTAGAGGTGAATAGACAGGGTCAATTTTTTACTGCCCTCTTGCTACCACAACTCTTTCCAGATACGCCTAAATATTTTGACCATCACTAGTCAGTGATTTGGGAGGAAGGATGTGGCCATGTCCTTCCATGAAGAGGACATCTGTGAAACACCTCAGGGCAGTCTGGAATCAACTGGACAGTAGTGGGCATTTGGTTATGGCTTCTAGTTAATCATTATGCTGAGGAACCCTGGTGGCACACTGGCGGAAATGCTCGGCTGCCAATCGAAAAGTTCAGTGATTCTAACCCACAAGGCACTCTAGGAGAAAATATCAGACAGTCGGCTTCCATAAAAATTTACAGCCTTGGCACACCTTGAGGCAGGTCCACTATGTTCTAGAAGTTACTATGAATGAGAATCAGCTCAACGACAACAAGCTTAATCGTTTTTCAATCAGTACACACACCTTTTACTACTCAAAATATCTTAAAATTGTCTAACAAAATAAATCAAACTATGAACAATTTCACAGCTTAATGAAGATAGGCAAATGAATACAAAGTAAAAGGAGAGAGACCAGTTATGACACACTAACTGCTGGATGGTGCTGACTTACCAGCAGCTCCTCACAAAACAGGGCATGGCAAACGTGCATGTCTTACTGCCTCTCAATGCCATCCAATTAGAACCACTGCACAGCATTATGCTTTGTAAAGACTTACTAAAACATCACTGACAGTCTTATTAAAACATTCACTGTGAAGTTTGACTATTATTATGAAATTTATTCACACACTCTCTTATTTCCAATTGTGAAATGTCCATATGATCTTTATAATTAAAGTTTGAGATATGGCAGAGATGCTTTGGGTTTTTTTTTTAAAGTTGGTTTGAATACACCAATTCATATACATTGTGTTTCATTCATGTACATTGTGTTTTATACAATCTTTCATTTATGCTGTTTCACATCATCATTCATATACATTGTGTTTTATAGAAATAATTACCACTGATTTATGTTGTCTTTTCAAGTACTCAATGAACCTTTCCTATACCTTCACCTCCCCTCAACCCACCCACAAATCTGTTAATCCTAGTGTTTTTCACTCTTCCCTTTTTCCTGTCCCCTTCCCCCTTTTCTTTTTGGATATGTATCTTACTCATCTTACCCAATTATCCTTCTATTTTTACATAAACAGTCTTATGCAGTATGTTTGCCCTTATGAGACTGAATTATTAGTTCACTAAGCATAATGTACAGTTGAGTGCTGCATAGTACTCCATTGTATGAATGTACCACAATTTCTCAATCCATTTGTTTGTTGATGGACAACTGGGCTGTTTTCATTTTCTTGTTATTGTAAATAACGCTGATATAAACATAGGTACATCTGACAGTGATATTATAATGAAGTCTTTACAAAGCACAAATGCTAATTTTTAATCTTGTTAATCTTAGCTAATCTGTTTTGTTAAGAGTTTCTGCTTTAATTTTGTGTGGTTAGCTTTGAATGTACAATTTTACTTGTAACGGTTAATTTGTTAAAATATGTTTAAAACTTACTCTGAAGGTGCAATTTTTAGTCATTTTACCAGTTAGTTTGGTAAAAATGATGACAAATTAAGTTTATGTCAAATTATACTTTTATCAAGTCAATATGGCCACTTTTCCCATTTTTAACACAGTATGATGTTTCTAATCCTAGAAAATTGACACATTTTCAGATTTGGGATAGATTTTATTTGCTACCAGTTTTTGTACAATTTAAAGTAGAATTTTCTGCAAATTTCCAACTACTATCATAAACTCTTCTGCACTTATGCTGTCTTGCCTCAGCTTATTGTATTGCTCAGTGTCTATGTTACTTTCACGCTATGTTCTAAAATAGTAGAATTACTCTCCACTCACTGTTCTAAGGAAAATACTTTTTCCCCTTTCAGGAAAATGTGCATAGAAACCTGGAACATTAATGCCCAAGAGTGACGTAGACTACACTGCACAAAAGGAGCAGCAAGACACATTTCTTTTGCATCATCAGTCTAAATCTTGTGCTGTGTATGTTAAGTATTTTCTTCCCTGGCATTTACCAGTTAGGGATAATTTAGACAAGGGCTCAGCAAATGCTTTCCATAAAAGGACAGAGAGTAAAGGGTCTAACCTTGGGGGCTGCATACAGTCTCTGTCTGATATTCTTCTTCGCTTTAGTGTACTTTTCACAGCCCTTTAAAAACTCTTAGTAGGTTTTACAGAAACAGGCCATGGCTAGATGTGACCTTCAGGCTACAGTATGCCAACCCTTGGATGACCCTGGAGCTTGGTTCCAACTTCTGTAACTCCAAATAACCTATCAGGATAGTGTATTCCTTCTACCTCTGCAAGATGTCTCCATATCCAGTCCTTTCAAAAGTAAAAATTTTTCCTCTAAATCCATCTACTATCTAGCTCCTATTTATCATAATACAGTCTATAGATTTTACCTGTGGTTAACATGATGCACAATGACCTGGAACAAAAAGGATCCAATTTTTTAAAAGGATTAATTGCAAAGAAAGAAGAGGAAGAAAAGACCAAAATGGATGTCAGAAGAGACTCTGAAAATTGTACTGGAGCGCAGAGAAGCCAAAGCACAGGGAAGAATTCAAGATACTAAA